CTCTACCTGCTGGGAGCAGCCAGGTCCCCCTGACTGTTTTTGGGACCCTCTATTGAAAAACAGTAATAATCTGTTTGCTCCTTTAATGAGCACATTGTTCCTCAGAGGAGGAAAAGCAGGTCTCATTGCTGCTTAGCTGCTGCTCTGCTGCAGGAAAGCTCCTCTGAGCACAAATGATACTCTGCTCCGCTGCAAACACATTGTTTAAGTCTGAGCCTGTAACAAAGCCAAGCCTGAGGAAGACTCTGAACCTCTGCCCTACTGTGGAGTGACTTTATTGTACTGCTTTCCTCACAGCTGATCAGAGGATCTGGCTGCTGGTATGGCTGTTTGAACCCCTCAAACTTTTGATTTTTCCCTTTAAATTTCTGAGGTCAATTTAAACCGCATTCACACTTTATGGCATTACACCCCATCTACTACTGTGTATGTATATACACATATACATATATATATATACACATATATATATACACATATATATAATATACACCCACACACACAACACACCACAAACAGGTTGAAAATCCACTTAAAACACAATAATACAAAAATGAGGTAAAATCTAATGATAAGAAATAAACACATAAAATACAATTTGCAACTGTAGTTGTTTCTTTTTAAGCTTAGTTTAGAGTGACTTTGGTTACTTTCGAAAAGCAAACTTTTTACACCGCATCCATTAAAAAGGGACCTTATTTTCTGAATAGCAAATGCTGTCTTTTTACAGAAGGGAACAAAGAAAACATTTAGTGCATGACATGATATCTGGGTAAAAATTAGTTGTCAGTGTATTTTTCAGGGAAAATCTGTAAAAATAATAAAAATAAAATCTGTCAATGAAGCTAAATGAAGCTTACACACCGCATTACGTAATGAATATGTTTTTAATATGCTGAAACCTTAAAACTTGACAGTTATCTTTTTAGGGAGTAAATATATATTCCGTTTATCGAAATAAATCAAGAGCGAAACATTTATGTTGTTTTTTACTCATAAAATTGATCAGTAACAAATCGACTTTATGCACACTGAAAAATTCATGGATCTCTTATCATTTGGGCGATAAAACACATTTGAGATTAATTACCATTGAAATGTATGACAACAAATGGATATCTGAGCGGAGGGTCACAGAAAAGCAAAAGGCATCATCTTGACTATTGTTCACACCAGCTGCATCAGCAGACACAGCAACAAATAATGGCAACAGTCAGCTCTAATGATGTACGCTGCTCTCATGACACACACACACACACACACACACACACACACACACACAGACACGCTATAGGTACCATCGAACCCTGCATCTTGATCAGACAGTGCCTCCCTAATTGAGCTAATCCCCACTTCAAGATCAGCGCTGTCCCCTGAGGTCTGACCCTCCACCCCGCCTGTCTCCTGCTCTCACTGTCTCAGTTCTCAGCTTAAACCTCCCGTCCCCTCTGTGGCTCATGTGGACTGTAAAGCTGTTTATTGGGAGACAATGGGCAGCAGATTGTGCTGTCAGGCTCCATTAATTACCATCATTAGCATCACACTCGATAGTCTGTGTGACTGGGGTCCTAAACCTTAAGCTGTGTTTGTGTAGAGCTTGCGTGTGTGTGTGTGTGTGTCTGTCTGTCTGTCTGTGTATGTATGTGACATGTGTATTTGCGGGCATACATGTACAGGCTCATATTTCATTCAGGAATATGCATCAAGTCCCATTGATAAATTGAATTTTTTCTTTATCTAATCTGTCATATCAGTCACTTTTACAAAATTTCAGCATTTGCTTCAAGGAAATAAAGATTCAATGTATCATGTGGAACAATATTTCAGTAAAAGATTTTACACATATACAGACAGGTGACTAAATAAAAAATACAACCCAACATAAAGTGTCTTAGTAAGGCGTTAGGCCCCCATGTGTTGGTGGAACAGCTTTGATGCTGCTTGGCATTGATTCTACAAGTCTCTGGACTCAACTGGAGGGATGAACACCATTCATCATTCCAAAGATTTTACAGGTTTTTCCTTTAATTTGTCACTTGTCTGTAGATCACAGAGCTAATAAAAAAAATCAAAAGGAATACTGTCTGATCAGTAGTGACTCCTGAAATGTGCCAGAGGGCGCCATCAAATGTCATCAATTAACACTTTGAACTGCTCTCAACTGCTGCCGGAAAATGCTGACAAGTGTACAGTCTTTAAATTAGTTTAACTTGAGTTTGTGGCCGTCTGAAGTGTTTGGAGACGTCAATGATGTCCAGAGATTTGCTCTTTAGCTTTAAAAGATTATTTTCATCTACACTTTCATTTTTCAGTTTAGTTTTTGTAAAAGCTGCTTTGTCATCTCTACTTTTTATCAACACTTACATTTTTTTTACAGCAAAACATTTGGTAATTCTGTGATTAATAACAATGAAAACACATCCCAAATCTGGTTCAGCTGTGACTTTTCTTTGCTTTAGCATCCAGGCTGGAGTTTTATTGTTAGCACATTTCATCCTCAACAGCAGAAGTTGCATGATTTTAGACACCAGTACCAAGATCTACAAATAGCTACAAACCATTACAATCCATTAATACTAGCAAATCCCATAATACATAAGCTTACTAACTGCATTAGTCAGTATCAACTTTTAAGAGTATAATTAGTTTCAGTCTCACTGTTCTTCACCTGCACCTGCAGTGAAAACATAACATCGTTTTTTGCAAGTACAGGAGGGAAAACATGGGATATTGGTCTCAACTTCAAAGAGCTGCATCACTTAGTTCAGACGTAAGTATGTCTTTTGTCAATAATTATTTCACATCCACTGCTCTAAAAGCTAATCCTGTTTGAACAGTACTTCGGGTGAAGTGTGGCAGAACCGCGGTGACAGAGACATCAAACTTACGCAATGTTGAGGAAATGTAGGACAGACTGTGACTGAAGTATAAAGAAAGTGAACAGGCCAATGAAAACCAACTCTTTATGATCCATATGTCCTTTAGTGCAAGGTAATCAATGGTCAAACGCAATTGACCACTGACCACCATTGGTATTTCCACCTCCAGCAGTGGAGCTCTAAAAGGAAATTGAACCACGTTTCTGCCACGCACCCACTGAGGCATAAGCCTTCTTACTCCAACTTCCTGTCTAATCAATGTGAGAGACAATGACTCAACAGGTGCGACAGACAGGAGCCCAGCGGCAGCTTTCCTCCCTGCAGCTAGGCCCAATTAGCACCCGTGGCTAAGGAACAAAGAGGCGACATTTCATTTCAGCAGAGTGCCAGTTTAAGGCCTCTTCTCTCAACCTCAGCCTCTTTTCTTTCTGTCTTTTACTGCTGACATCTTTAAAGGATCATCCCTGGCTCCATCATATTCTATTAGATTGGATCGATGCCTTGTGTTCGAAGTGGCAGGGGTGTTAAAAACATGGGGTGTTGATGAATTCATTGCATGTGACTGTACTTGCTTTCTTTGTGTGGAGGTTTTGACTAATGAAAACCCCTGAAGGTCTGACAAAAGGCAAAGACATTTTTCAGGGTTTGGTTCGCACTCCGGGTCCAGGCTGGATTTCCTGACCGAATAACACACAAGTGCTGCCATCCTGGACAACTTTTCAACTTATTTGGAAAGAAAAGACCCAATGTATTTTAAATTAGTTAAATGCTTTTCATTATCATTTTTTATACAGTGCTTTATGTATAAATAGCTTTCATCACTGTAAGAAAACACAATTACCTGCAAGACCCTGTTTTCTGTGCAGCTAGAAACTGTACCATATTTAACATCAGATGCTATTCTTCTCATCTTTTCAGCTTCTTTATATTATAACCACATTATATTTTTCAAAGTTTATTTCTTATAAAACAGGAGCTCTTATGTTCCACCAAGCATTTTTGAGAATATGACCTGTTTAATTGGATAGAAATGACACAGGCTAATATTTTTTTCTTTTGGAGGTTTAAATCTCCCTCACCTGCTTTAAGAGAAATGCATGTAAAAGAAGATAAATTTGTATTTTAACCTGGGCGTTGTTAGATCAAACACTGCTCTATTAGAGTTAGCTCAGTCTAATGAGGTTAGTGCAAATGGTGCATCTTCAAAAGAAGGGGGCAAACTCTTGACAGCCAGGTAGCCACTCTTTAAAAAGGCCTGGCTTTAATTGCCTTCTCTGCTACATAAACTAAGAGATTTAGATGTAGAGGAAAGAGTTGTTAGAGTCTGAAATGCCCATAACTTACATCTTAAGTTACTTCACTGTAACTAGAAAAGCAAAGCCTTGTGGTGTGGTTAACCAAGGAACCTCCATTGTTTATTCCCATGACCGTACCCTGCACTACAGCAGCTGAACCAAAACATTTATGAAACTCTGAATCTCTGGTAACTTCATCTCTGTAACGGAATGAGCTGAAATAATCTTAAATGTGTGTATGGAGAGAAGGGCACTACTTATAAAAACTATGCCAGAACTAAGCATTTAAGATTATTATTATATTTCTTTTTTCTATTTATAATTTCTATTTATTATTGATTATTCATTCATCTCCTCTGTGTCTCTAACTTGATTAATTGAATTGATTCAACAAAAAATAAATTCATTAATAATGGATTATAAACCCTTTATATATGGTGACATCATAAAGTGGTACCAAGTTCAGTATAAAGGTTGAGCACCACAGATGGACACTATATGTGTATGAATGGTCCTATGGTATGCGTATCAGATTGGGTGAAAAATAATTATTGGATATTGAAACTTTTCTTCGTGGGGACTTTCAAAATGCAAGTGCGCATGCGCTGTCCGCCGCGCTGTCTATTGTGGAAAATGAGGATGGGAACGGAGCACGTGAAATTTCGAGCTTCTCCCACTTTCTATGGGGTGCACTAAAATATCATACCCAAGAAATAAAACATATGATTAACATTCTTGCAGTGAACCCGTACCCTCCACCAAGACACATGCGACGGTGACGATAATATCCGTTTTTCCCTCAGCCTATCAAGGCAAGCGGGAGGACAGCACCGTCCGTAAACATGAAGCAACCAGGAAGTGCTCCAGCAATTTAATCGTTGCTCTTGGCAATGCCTGTTATGAAACTGTTGGTCACCTCCCTTGGAAAAGCAACCGGGTTCTTAACTCTCATAGTTATTGTCATTGCGGCGGTTTTGAATTATTTCGACGACTCTGTTCCGGGTAAATACACCAGGTAACGTATAGCGGGGGTCTCTGTTAGCATTCATGAATGAATGTAGCCGCTATATAAAACTCAAGATACACGTAACGTAAATGCGAATATAATTAAGCTAATAATTAAGCGAAGAGCTATAATGGTCCCAGACATGTGGACCACCAGTGTAAACATCATAGAGAACAAACATTGATTTAACCGAGGAACGTTCCTCCGTGTCTCCTTGTGTAATCATATAGTGACCGTCAAACCAAACTCCTCTAAGAAATCTGTCAATTTGAAGTTCCCTTTCTGTTGGGCAAATGTACTCACCATGTAAAACACAACTAGGACTGGTTTATGGATTGTTTGCATCATCTAATAAATTCGTCACAAACTGCATCCTCTACATCCCAGTTTTTAATATATATTTTTTACACTTGATTATTGCCGTCTATCAAGATGATAAACAGTGTTCACACAGCTTGTTTCACATTTGCACACATCACCTGCATAAAACACATGACAGTTTGTTTAATTTTAATATTACCTGTCCTGCACTCATGCACGTTGCTGACAGAGTGGTCGATTTGTTGTGGCACACAGCATGGCTGATGACATGAAGACCCTGGAGGAAAACTTCAAGCAGCAAAATAAAAGCTGTTTCATCCTCGGTGCTTCTGGGGAAACGGGCAAGGTGTTGCTTCAAGAGCTGCTGGAGCGCAACGTCTTCTCCAAGATTACCCTCATTGGAAGGAGACAGCTCACCTTTGAGGGCAAAGCATATGAAAACCTGGTTAGTGGACTGATGCTCTGGTCACTTGACAGCTTTTTATTTCAATAAGAAACTCCATTATCAAAGATTCATCATGTTGAGTGTTACATTTTGCTTGACACTGTGTTTTCTGTGCCTCCAGGTACAAGAGGTGGTGGACTTTGAGAAGCTTGATGATCATGCTGTTGCCTTCCAGGGCCATGATGTGGGCTATTGCTGTCTGGGAACAACCAGAGCAAAAGCAGGGGTTGTAAGTTAAACTTACTAAATCAAGTGCGAGCACTTCACTAGTGAATTCATTAAGATTTTAGTGTTGCATTGTTTATCTCTTGAGGTGCGATGGGTTTATTGGTCAATAGCATAACTAAGCAATCTGGGCTGAAACAATGACTAAGCAATTTCATTGCAAAACTAACATTTCCACTATAAAGGCCAGTAAGTAACAGTAATTGTAGGACAGAATGCTAAAGATTGAGTTTGAGGTTATTTAGAAACAACAAAGCTATTACATAGTTTGTTCATGAGAGCCAGGACAAGTACTGTCAACTGTAAAATGTCCTGCTCTCAACATGTTTGTCACAACTCTTTAAAAATGGATTCTAATCAAAAATGCCTATCTATATTACATGTTTACATAAAAAAAAACTGGTCACTCAAATATCAATATAGCATTACCCTCCAAAATCCAGGTTGGGCAATAATATTTGAGTATATACATACTTGTGCACATGCTTTATTTTGAATGAGCAATTGTTACTGCAGCATATTTTATTGTCAGTCCATAAATCAATACAAAGTAGCTGTGTTATTCAAGTGTCTGGCAGTATGGAGAGAAAAAAACTAATAAGTGTTGCTTCAAGAGTGATGTTATTTGAGGGAATTCAAAAATCACAAGGTAAAATGTTGAACTCATTTGCCTCATTTAGTCAAATGTGTCATGATTGTGACAAACGTTTGTAACTTGTTGAGATATTGCAATATGATCACTTTATCACAATATTATACAGAAAGACAGCAAGCAATATTTTTGAATTAATGTCCAGCCATAACTATGATACATTTCTTATTCAATCATGATTTCATTGATACTTTGTTCTAATCTGCTACTTTACTTATTGTAATATAAAGATTTGAATTTACTACTGGAGGTAAGCTGTCATCAAAATGTCAAAATAAATTAATATATTTTCTATTACTTCTCTCTTTTATTTCAGGAAGGATTCATCCGTGTTGATCATGACTATGTTCTAAAATCAGCTGAGCTCGCCAAAGCAGGAGGCTGCACACAGTTCCACCTGGAGTCCTCCAGAGGAGCTGATAAAAACAGCAACTTCCTCTACCTCAAAGTCAAGGTACTTTATTTCCCTCATTCTACTGCATTCCACACACTTCAGTCTTTTTTTTTCTCTCAACTAAAGCTTCTCTGTGTGTCTTTCAATAAACAATGACATAAAACAATCACTGACAGACCAACATGAATGGATTTTTCTTCCAGGGACAAGTGGAAGCAGATATTGAGGCGCTGGGTTTTGACAGATATGCCATTTACAGACCAGGGTGCGTGATCTCATTTACTCAATTCAGTACTTTTGTGAAACAGACACCAATATTCACCATTTAAGCTAAGGAAAACTGTACCAAAACCAAAATATACATAAATACATTATGTACAACATGTACAAGTATTGTGTAAAATGACTGGGTCAGTACCAAATATTTGCAGATATATGCATTCTCTTGCAATTTCTAAAAATCTGGCACTTTGACAGGTTACCAAAACATCATTCAGTAAACAGGGCACTTGTGACACCATGTGACTTTTGTTTAAAACCATGCATGAAACATAATAGTGTGGTAGGAAATTTTAATGTACCAAATTCAATACAACAAAGTCAGTGTGGTGCAGACCATACAACATGTGATTTCACCCTTTTACATGACACAAAGTGTTAATTGTACTACTCTGCACAAGTTCCCCATTCTAGTGTGACATATTGAGAATCAATATTGTTAATCACCCCAGTGGAGAAAAAAAAAAAAAAAAAAAAGATTTCAAATCTAGTCTATGAACTGCTTGTTTACAATTAAACAACTCGACACAATCTCAAAATCATCAATACCTTTTTCTCCAACAGCGTTTTGTTGGTGGACAGGCAGGAGAGTCGGCCTGGCGAGTGGCTGGCCAGGAAGTTCTTTGGTGCCTTTTCTGCTGTGTATTCTACGTCCATGGCCATCCCAATCCAAGCGGTGGCAAAAGCGATGGTGTCAAACACTCTGCTTCAACCTGAGCAGAAGATGGAGATCCTGGAGAACAAAGACATCACCAGTCTGGGAAAGAGGACAGGGAAATAAGAGAGAGCAGGAAATAGACAGAGGTAAGAAAAATATTATCCATGTATACTGTTTAAATTAGACACAAGATGCTGTCTCCATCTTAATGTTAATGCCCTAGTCCTGTATGCTTAAGAGATTTAAATGACAGCTTGCACTCTTAGACTACATACAAACAGAACAAATAAACATTATTCATGACCGATAAGTATATTTATTTAATTTCCATAACTTAAACTCTTAAAATTGTTGGTTAGTAAATTCTGGGCCTCAATTTAAAGTCAGATCTAAAAATTTTCTGATCACTTTTAAGCAGCTGCCACAACAAAAGATTCTAGCTTTCATTTCAAGAAAACATATCATGATCCGAATTCATGTTCTGGCGCAGCATTCAAATGGCTGTAGTAAAGATTTAGAAGATGAACTCCCCAAAAGAATGGAAAATTCATTAAATCATATTCCTTTTGCTCTAAAACTGTACCTGTGCAAAATTAATTCTTTTAGTAATTTCACTGTGACCCTCTGAGTGACCTATAGCACCAAACTAATTTTCTCTTCTCGGCAGATATACGGAGATGACTACATACTGCAAACACTCATCACATCATCATCAGGAGTTTCACAGAACTTTATTTATTTGTGAGTTTTTCTACTCTCAGGAAACCAAAGGGTGTTTCTGTGAAAGCACTTGACTGTTTTTCAACCTGTGAAGCAAAATATTTAATCTTGAAATTATATATGGGTTTCTTTTTCTCTGGTCTTTATTAACATTGTAATATTTTCATCAGGAAACTATTGCCAGGCTTTTTCATGTTCACCATTTGTGCTCTGAGACAACAGATTGAACCACTGCCTTATCATAAATCCTTGTGTTTATTCTGCTCTAGATTAAAATATCGAATATAAAAAAGATAATATAAAGAATATCTGATGACTATATCTATACTACACCTGTACAATTTATATTTTTTAATTTTAGATTCTTTAACATGCAGACGCCATTTATTTTATGAGTTTTTATGATAACAGCAATGGAACAATTTTGAATAAGCTTTGTTGATACTGAATTTTGTCTACATGTGTCTGAAGCCACACTGTGGTCCTACAATCTAAGTTACCAGTTAGAGGCCTTAACTGGAATGTAGATGATTAATAACAGCAATGATGAATTTGAACATATGATCCCTTATTCATTTGTTTATTCTTCATTTATTTTTGTTGGGTTAATTAACAAGACAAAATCATCTACTTACCAAACTATAAATGTGGTAATAATGTCAAATATCAGAATATGATGTGAACACGTGTTTAATGAAAAAGAAGGAGTTTTTCTTTTATTTGTTTTCAATTTTCTACCTTAATTTTATGTACCCATTATTTTTGTTTTGATGTATGTCATTGCTCTAAGTAAAGCACTTCACATTGCCTTTGTGTTTGAGAGATGATATTCAAATAAACTTGCATTTTCTCTGCTTGATCTAGCAGCCCCCCCTTGTGACTAAATGTGGTTACACACATTGTGCTAAGGTCTAAATGACTTGGAGTCTTTCTCCAGTGGGTTTTCTTGAGACTAGGTAATAAGATTAAAGGTCCATTTCTACAGACCTATGCTACTGCAAAATGGAAAAAGGTTACTCATGATGCTGTTAAATTTACTGATATAGGTATTTTTTCCCTAAATAAATGGAAAACAAACAGCACTTGTGTTGTGGACATCATGCTGTCTGGTACGGTATTTAACATGTAAAACATGATGATGGTCTCTGATAATTCTGACATGTCACAGTATGAAAAGCACAAGTGTAAATGATAAAAATTAATTACATTTGAGTAGCTTTGCTTGTGCATGCAGTCACACACACTTGAACATAATGGAGCCATCCTTAATGTTATTAGTAACACCTGTACTTTTCCACATGCCAGCTCTGAAAAAGTCCTGTTAGACCAAGACAGTTAAAAAAAGTTAAGGTAAATTTCAGGTTGTGACTTAAGTGTTCAAATAGAATTAAATTTATTCCCTTAAAAAAACAAAAACTGGCTGTGGGTACACAAATATGATAATTTCAGCTAGGAGATAGTCTATAGAGAAGTCCTTATATTTTACATCCTTTTTTTAAAGTGAAGACTAGTTTTTCTTTCAGGGAAAAGAAAAAAAAAGCTGAATTAGACAAATAACATCTTATACTATAAATCGCCTTGATAAAGTATCTTCCATAGTGATCAGGTCATATTAGAGACTATTTTTTCCCTTTTTGTTTACATTTTTGCCCCACATATCTGCAACCTTCCTCCTCCCACATGTCACCATAAACAAGTATTACAGCTAATGCACATTTTTATCAAAACACCGAAACAACAAAATAAATTCTCCATAAAGTGACATTGAGCAGGATAATTTACCTCTGAAATTGTCTGGGAAATCCTCAGCATGTTCTTCCTGCAGCTTTGTGTGTTGCCATCATGGCCATGCAGCAATTAGTCCAACATGTGGAACAGCTGAGTTGATCTGCCACTCCCTGCTTTGAGTTAATACAGGTCTGGGCCTATGCTTCCTGTTCTAACAGATTAGTTGTAGCCTGATTTACTGTTGGGTATGGTTCTTCTGAGCAAAGCTGAACAATGAGCCCTGTGGACTTTTTGAGGTAAATTGTCCTGTTCAATGTTCCTTTTTGACAGTAGTTATTTGAATACTTGAGTTGATCAAAATACACTTTGGGAACTTGTGAACTCAACCTGTGTTTCCCTTTCATCTGCAGGCTGTCTGTGTTTTGCCTTTGGCTACTGGCTTGTGATGTAAATTGTGAGAATCCCCGGAGAGGTACTGAATGATCTGTCAATCTGCAATTTTGACAGCCATTAAGTATTGATAAAGTTTTAACATAACGGTAGATGAGTTGTCTGTTGTATAGAAAATCTCTTTTGTTTCAATAGGTTTCGTCCTACGTGTCCAGGCAGGACATTACCCAATGGGAGTCCACAATGACAACAGAGATGATGAAAGATGGATCAAACGCCCTGTTCTCAGAATCCCCACAGTTGGTTATAAGACATCAAACGTGGACAAAGGTCAAAGTCGCAATATTTACCCTGCTCAGAACGATCACACCACTGACTCTAAATCGTCACAAATTCATAGCTATTATCCTTATCCTGTTGTTCCTGAATTACAAAACAGCAATGTTCCAAAAACCAGAGTCAACCATTTTGATTTTGGCTTCAGCTCAGGATCAGTTACACGAGGACAAAGTGCTGTGCTGTACAACCGCTCTGGAAACAAAGCAGTCACTTTTCCTAGTGAGGAGAGGATTCATCAAGCAAACTCTGATTCTGTATTCTCCACCGGTTCAGTTCAGTTTCCGTCTCGTATTCATCGTGCCAGAACTAAGTCAAAAGCAGGTTTTTCACCTGTTAATGCAGACAGAGCTCCAGTAGGCTTTGGTCCAAACAACAGAAAGGGCCTCATTTATTCACACAGCAGTCAAGGAGGTCCAATTAAAGCCATCAAGTCTAGTCTGAAGTCTGAGTCTCATAAGATTCATGTAAGCTCCTCCAGACCCAACATGCGTCCTCTACACACACAGAAGTTGCGTCTCAAAACAAGGCCTGAGTTGGGTGGGTATCACTCTGCTTATATTTTGTCCAACAGCTTTAATCACAACAGCACAAACTCTCTACCAAAAGTTTTGAAACCCACTGAGAAGACGACAGACTCCATCATGAAGGGACATTCTCCTGGAAGCAATTCAGCAGGAAAAGTTAAAACACAGAGGCCTTACCTAGCATGGAGGCCCAGGGCCTATAGCAGTGATGTGCCGCCTGAACCAAGAGGATACGCCCATGTCTGGCACCTCAAGCCTGGTTTTGAGAAAACACAGCCCCAAGCTAGTTCTGCTGCAGGTAGAAAGTTCTTGGAAACAGGTTTTCCATCTGTAAATCATAATAATAATAATAATAACAATGTCAGAGGAAGACCATCAGATAGAACACAAATCCCTGTCCAAGGCAAATTCAAACCTTTCCAGAGACTTCCTACTAATTATGATCTCTCTGCTCACGCCCATTCATCAGACGATGAAACGGCTCTAAATCTGACATTTGCAGGGACAACCCTTCTCCCTAGTTTGAACTCAACAGGTATCACTTCAACAGTTGTTCATTTAGTCTCTGGAGAAACGAGCACCAAGTCCTCTTCACCCATGCAGACAGACGGCAAAGATGCTAAGACTCTCTCTCAAGCATCAAACCTTGAGGTCCAGTCTAACAGCTCAGCAGTCGCTGGACTTTCCATGGACCAAAACAAATCATTTTACAGTTTCTTCTCAAAGCTACAACCAGCAGGAACAGAAGGACAAAATGACACGTCCTCTAGAAACGGATCAGTATATGGAGTTTAAAGTGAACCACCAGATGCTGTATGGTGGCAACACCAGTAAGAGGTACGCCCTTTGTGATTACACAAATTCATTTTTTAGCAATTTATCTGTATTTGTTGGCCTGTCTGCCAGACTGTAAATACCAAAATTGTCAATGTCACAATGGTGAATTAAACTGTCGACCCTTGGTTTTCCCCCAGGTTCCAGTCCTACTCAGAGCTCTGCTGCTTGTCCAGAAAATGTCTAACTTCGAATAAATACCTTTTATAAAAACTGATTATTTTCTTTGCTTTGCTTTTAAAACTGTCATTGTAGCAGCTGATAGAAGTAGCCTCGGTCTTTGAGCCTTTCACATTGAGACAGTCGCAGTGTTAACATTTGAAACATAGGCTAATATTTACACTTATCATCATAATTGATACATTGGCTAACTGTTAACAAAACGGTTTCAGATTGCTTTTGCTACCTGAGTAGCATAGGCTCATTTGGAGTCATGTTTTTCGTGCCATGATAAATGTAAGTCCACTCACACTCTCTCTACCTCGGGTTTGGTCTCCGCCAACTCCTGTGAGAAATGTCCGGCTCTTTAGCTGCTACTAGCTACATGCTGTGTTCACCTGCCACCTGTCCTGGAGGAAGAAAGGCGCTGAAGTTCTCTTCTGATTCGGCAGGTAGGGGGACTTTAAGACAGGGGTAAGGGCGATTCTCCGTTTTTGTAGTACTTATTGTTGTGTAAAGCTGTCCCTAATTAAACCTTTGAAATTGTTTAAATCCCACTTTAGCAGGGTTCAAATCACGGGGTGGTGGTGGGGGCTAATCGACGTTATTTGTGAGCAAATTGACAATCAGCAAATGTGTAATCTGTACATATAAAACACCTTCCACAAACTATGAAGCGAAAATGCATTTGTACAGTTTTGAAACAAACTTTCTGCCAGTCTGGACGAAAATTGACTTGTACCACTCGTCCACTTTTGTGAAACGTGATCGCATGCTGATGACGCCATTTCCGCTTTTCAGAGTAAGACCACGCAATCTTCTATGAGCTGTTATTTTCCCCGAAATAATCGGCGACAAGTAACGTGCACCACGTTAACGGCTCTAAGATATGAAGTGACAGGACCCTGGTTAAGTTTTTTTTGATAGTATGGCTGTTGGTGTCATGTTAATTACGTTTTGCAATTTTATTGTTCATTGTTAAAGGCTAAGCTAACGTTAACTACTAAACCGGCACCCGTTGCCTTGGCGACAGTAAGCGTTCATGTAAATGATTTTCTACACTGGTGATGAAGATACGTTGTAAATAGACCACATTTCGTACCCACCCACCATGTAAAGAGATCATTGGTGTCACTTCTTTACCATTGAATTTATTGTAATCATACAGTCCGCTTGTGGAAGGTATTTTATTACAGATTACACATTTACACACAGATTGTCAATCTCACAAATCACACAAATAAAATTGAGACAAATCTACCCCCATAGAAATCTAAGTATACGCGTTCTTTCATCTGCACAAATATAACCACTCAGCTGTAAATACTAACACCTGACTGACTGCAAGCAAAAGATTAAATACTTTCAAATGGAACCTGACTGCTTCTCCTACTTTGATCATACTCAAAGTCCAGTGTAATCCTACAACACATAAATTTGTGAAAAATTACATCGCAATCATGGAATTACATTTTCATTTTTCATTTTACATGATTTGAATAAAGTCCACAATAGGCTTCTACAATGACTTATATTTGTAATTTTAGCCTGTTTTTTTCTGCTCCAGATGCTTTGAGGATGGGACATTATAATAACATTATAATCATATAATGTGCATTTAAAGGAGAATCCAACCCTTTTTAAGACTTCACATTTCTTATTCCTGTGCCCTACAACAGATTAGTGAATATTTATGAACAAGCAGCACTCTCCTATAGAGTTAGAAACCAAAGGGATAACCTTTAAATGTGCAATATCATCCAAATTTGCTTTCTAACAATGAATGGGGCTCTGACTCTGAACTCTTACACCAAAACAAGTGTTGTTCAGTGTTAAAATGTTAAACTTTATATCCAATTCAAAATCTGGATGAGGCCCATTGTGGGAGGACACTACACACAGCTAGTCTGTTTGTGTGCGAGTACTCATGTTGTGTAAAGGTACCATTTAATAAAAGAGCAGTCATGTAATCCGTTTCAATCCTGCATCTCAGGGAAGGGTTGGCATTGGGAAAATAGCAGGAAAGGAATAAAAGTCATCCTGGATGGCAGAACTGGTAATGGGCCGAGTCTGGCGCGCGTGGTGTATTTCAGGCCTGGTTGTGGGTTGTTGGACTCTTCTCGGGCCACCAGTCAGACTGCACTTCAGCCGGATCTCTCGACCCAGACCCGGCCTCGTCTTTAACAGGATAACATGAATAACAGCTGCATGAGAAAAGTAAACTGCGGAACAAACAAACAAACACAGAAACTTTTCATACCTGTGGCAACATCGGAAGTCAGGTGAACAGGAAACGTGACGTGCAGAGAAGAACCCGAACTGAGCGCGATAGCTGCTTTTAAGGACCGCCCACATACGGGGACTTGAAAGAAAGCGCGCCAAAAACTATCATGGCGGCAGTGAACTCAAACCTGGGTCTGTGTACAGTCCGCGGTCAATAGGTGCAACAGTCGGTGAGTAAAAAACTGGCTGTTATTTCCTCTTTGAATGAAGAAATGCCGTGTATATTCTAAGCATATATTTGTAGAAATTACTGTAAAAGCAAATCAAAATATGTTTTCTGTTCATCAAATGTGTTAATGTCAGTGGGTAAGTTAATGTGCAATGTGGGAAAAGAATACACAGCTTTACAACTTTACCAAATGTCAGGTTTGGTGGTTGTGCTTTAACAAATTTTCAGTAAAAGTTGATGTTTTTCAAACTGTATTGTAAAGAGCTGCTTAAAATATCCTTGTTTACCCTGCAATTGAAAGTCATTTTATTTGATATAATTACATGTTTTCATAGGGATGCCATATTCCACTTCAGGACAGTACCACACCTTATGGTCACCCACAATCAGCAAGATGGTAAGTCATGCTTATCCTCAACTTGCAAACATGAGGTATTTCTGTTGTATTCCACTGTTACATATACATTAAAATATTTTCATATAGGTTCTATATGAGCTTATCGACAATGGGAAAGCCAGAGCTGTTTTCGTTATGCAAGCACAGATAGATGAGGATCTCTTTTTTTCGCTTAGTTCTTACATTAAAAACAAATATCAATATTGTATGTAGGGTTGGGCAATCTGGCCTAAATATCATGTTTTTGAGCAGAATCACAATCCACGATCAGAATCAAGATTTTAATCATATTTCCGCTCTGAGTTTTATTGTGAAAGTCGTAACCGGAAGTTGTGATTCGTATCTTTCCGCCTTTTTTTCCGCTTCTCTGGAATGTCTGTCCGCTTGCTGGTATTCTTCACACACTATGTGCTGTCTTCTGCTTACAAGTTTCTCTAATTTTTTAATAAATTTCCAATTTATGATTTTTACTTTATTTAATTTTAGATTTTCTTTCTCTCATGCCCAGGACTTTGAGCATCATGGATGACTTGCCTGGTCTGTGATTTTTTTGTTAGATGAAATACTTTGGCGACATCTTGTGGTGCACACGAAGTGCCCGTTCTGACTTTGCCTGTGTCTTCTTCACGTCATCAGACGTAACCAGGAAGTCCAGTGAAACCACGGCGACAACATGGCAGAATACACAGACCCACGTGAGTATTGTAAATAACAAATATAAACCCCCGAAACTGTAGCTGTTAATAATGCAAGCGCTTATTTTAGCTAGCGATCATTTCTATTGCGTATATAGTTAATGAATTGTGTGTTTTGTTGCGTTAGACGAGGCGTTAGCAGCATTTTGTTTAGCTTTAGCCGAGGAAAGTAGTTAGCTTACTGCAACACTGCCGAAGTAAATGTGGGGCTTCGTGGCACTAACATGCAGCTGTAACGAGGTTTTACTTTGACAGACGGTGATAGAGCTGATGAGGAGATGCCTGAGCTCTCTGACGGTGATGACGATGACATTGAAGATGATGAAGAGCAGTGGCAGTGGCTGGAGGAGGAGGATAGTCAACCAGTTACCTGTCTGTTCTGTGACAGGTGAGATGGTTTTTGTTTTTCTTCAAACACAGCTGTATACAGGTGTATACAAACGTTCAGGCACCCCTGGGCAAATGGCATATTTTGTTGATTTTTGAATGGAGGAGAATTAAATACAAACAGACATTGTGTTTCTTCAAATGTTTATGCACTCTTACTTTTCAATTACATTAATTTACAAGATTGAAAAAAATGTGTAATTATGGCATGGACAAAAGTTTAGGCAGCTTATGAACTCTCCTTTGGGCAGATGTCTCAGTTTGCAAACACTTTGTTGCGGCTAAGAGTCTTTCTGTTCTTGTTTCTGAATTTTCAGCCTCCTGCAGATATTTGCATTTTTGAGTGTCTGTTCACAGGTGTTGCATTTACTTCTTTTCACTCATGTCATTTAAAATGCACTTCAGTGATTCCCTTTCCTTAGAGGAAACTGAATTGTAGGAATCCATGTGAAGTTCTTTTCTTAGAAGATTCTGTTTCCAACCATCTCGGCCTATTACAACATCCACTTTCATTCATTTCAGTTATAAATAGTAATTAGACCGTTACATTATGACTAAGCATTCTGAGGTTGATGTCAGAGCCAAGGGCTTTTCATACAGGTGACAATTTTGAGACCAGTAGTCATTTTGTTTTGTAACCTTCAATAGATAGATAGATGATGACACTGTTATTAGTAGCTATGGCCAAAAGTTCAGAGTACTATATCACTAAGCTGATAATAGTCTTGTGGGCAGAAATAAAAGTGACAAATTGTTCCTATTAAGGAGCCAGGAACATGAGGTAAAAAAGCCACTAAAATACACTGAAGTCACAGGTTTGCACATGCCACAACCTTGTATCAGAGGTGCACGCAAGAAAAAGGTGAGAGGTCTCCTACCTTGGTTTGTGGTGTTCCCTATCATCCCTATGTTGAGTCAGGTTTTTTGCAGGTCTTGAAAAATCTTAAAAAGAATTGAGTTCACTTGTCTCATAAAAAGGAAACTACTTATAAAGTATTAAAGTCTTGAATCTCATATTCAAAGAGGTCATGTATATTTTCTGGCTTGCCTTTCGTAAACAGTAAACATTAGTTATAAATGATATGATTGGTGACTGTTGGGAGATGCTATACATCTATAAGTTAGATTGCTGCAGCAGTGGATTGTGCTCACAGTTGGATGCTCAATCCTTTTTGTGGGGTTTGAGTATTTGCTGTTTCTACTGCTACTTCTACTGTGGTTAGGTTAGTTATTGGTTAGGAAGGAAGCTCATCTGAAGCTGAATTCTGATTGACAAGTGTCAGTTATTGGACAGAATATCCCGACTTTCTTCACCTTCACACGTAGCTGAAAATCCGTCCAGGGGAGAGTATTTTTGTTAAATCTCATAAATCAGGTTTAATAACTGGAAATCCAAACTCAAGAACCACCACAAGTATTTTATACGGATGTAATTATTCAAAAAATCAAGGTTTGATTCTGTATGCTACAGTGGGTTTTATGATTCAGCATATATAATGTAATTAAACAGATTTGCCTCCCTGGTTATTATTGTTTCTCAGGTTGCTGAACTCAGTAACTGCCACCTTGCAGCACTGCAGAGCGGAGCATCAGGTCAACCTTGTAGACGTGATAAGAAAACACAGTAAGTAGACGCTGATGATCTGTGCCTCACTCAGGAGTCAGAGGATTATTTGGTTTTGTTAAAATGATTCACCGTCTTTGTTCTTCCTAGGTTTAGATGACTATGGATACATAAAGATGATCAACTTTGTACGGTCAACAGTAAGTACATTCATCTCTCTGTTAAATGGCTGGTCTCAGATATGATTTAATGCTGGACTCTAGAGCTCTATTTACACCCTTCACATTTTAAAGTCTTAAAAATTTCAGAAAACTTTGGCTTAAAGATAGTCAGCACAATGGAACAAATAATGATGATAGTTATTTCCTAAAAAAAATCTTTGTTTCTAGAAATGTGATGCATCCTGTCTGACGGGGCTGCCAGACGCTCCCTTACCCTGGGAGAGCGAAGACTTCCTGCGGCCGGTCCAACAGGACGACCCCCTGCTGCAGACAGGTATAGTAGCTCCATTAAATTTGGTGACATAGTCTTTATTGTTGATTAACTTACTGCAGTTACTCAATAAATATATTAGAAACCTTTTTTGGCAGATGTTCAAAAAACCTCATAGAACTGTCTCATAAACACAAATTCACACACTCACATTCACAGGCTGTTACTTTGCAGTTTGTCCCAGGTCTCAGCTCTGATCCAGAGGACAGGGGTGTAAAGGGTTCAATACGCTTCAAACAAACCTGTCTACACAAAGTGTCGTCAAACACATCAAACGAGAAAAGTGTTGATATTTGTTCCAAATGGCTGCAGGAAGGTGAAAAAGAAAAGCCTGTCATAGAGAGGCAGAGAGGTGCTGAATTCAAGAAATGGGTATAAGGACGCACAATCTCTCCTGGAGGGCAATCATGTTGTTGCACTCAGGAGCTTGAAAGCGGAATTTAAATCCTTCATACCGTTTCACCTACTGGCTCGTTGTATGAGGTATGTGTTTGTGGGATTATTGGTTTTTAAAAAGTTGCTTCAATTCTTGGTTATAGCCCCCCACTTTGGTAAAACCCACTGGACACTTTGTGTGTCAGTAAAATGAAAATGTAGTTTTGTTTTTATAAGAGGTCTTTAAAACCTCTGGATGGTTTGAAAATCAGAATTTAGGCAGATTAATTTTTAGACTTGACCTGGATAAGTTGAGTCTGATTTCACATGCACTTCACTTCCGTTCACTACACTTTGCTTCAATGTCTCTTCAAGGAAGACTTTCTGTGCAGCAGCAATATCACGTACAACAGAAAAGAAACAAAACAAAATGAACAAACACAAAAAATAAAAAACGGCAAACAATTAATTGGATGTATAAAAAACATAGGGGTTAACACAGCTCTGATCTTCTGTTTGTCTCCCCCTCTCTGTGTTTCTGGCAGACCCCGAGGAGCTCTGTGGCATCGAGGAGTCAAGTATGTCAGTGTGCCCATTGTCCGGAGCTGGGTCCCATGATGCACTGCTGCAGAGGGCACAGGCCGCTGAGGAGAGATCCCGTCTCTCAGAGGAGGCGCTGTCGAGAGCCATGGATGACCTGCACAAACTCAAGTTAGTGACGTTTCTGCATTTTCATGGTCTTATAACCACTGTTTGAGTTGAGGTTGTTCCTTTTAGTTTATTTCTTGTTAGTCATGGGTAAGTTGTTTTCTTTTTTATATTCTTGAGAGCTTGCTGTATCCTCAGCGTGTTGCTTCACTGCTGCAGTACACTCCTGGGGCCAGCAGGGGGCCACAGTGAACTCAGTATTGCAGAAACATCAACAGAATACCTTGAATACCTTGTGGGAGAAGTTTGGAGGAAGGGGAAAGATAAAAAAGGGAAGGGAAAATTCCACTGCAGCATGGAGGTGAAAGTGTGGAGGGGAGGTAGGAAGGGGGGCAATAAGGGAAAATTACAGAAAGTGAGGTTGGGGGGGGGGGTAGAAGACGGTTAGAAAGATGAATGCCTCTCATTTCCTCCATTTACTGCTTCGTCCTGCATGAAGGTTGTGTGTGCTTTCTGCTTTCTGGTCACTGCTTTTGTCCCATGTCCTAATACAAGAAGTTAAACGCAGATCTGTTCTGTTTCAGGCTGCTGGCTCAGGGTTTGGTGCTGAATGCAGAAACCAGCAGATCTGGAAACCTGGGCACCGTGGCCGAGCTTCGAGAAGACGAGGACGAGGCCTACTTCAGTTCCTACGGCCATTATAGCATCCACGAGGAGATGCTGAAGGTCTGAGTTCTGCAAAAACACACACACACTGACCAGGCCTGCAGGTCTCTTGACAGTCTTGTGAGTCACTTCCCTCCGGGCGCAGCAGTCTCTGCAGAGCAAAAGTGGGCTCATCAGCATACGTCTTGGCTGAAAGATTTCGATGTAGCACATAAATGAAAATGATCATCTTTATGCACACATTGATACTGAAGACAAGACAGTTTCTCCAAAGTGACACATCAGCAATAAGAGCTGAGCTCTCATGTGAGACACTGCTGCACGGCGAATACTGGAAATGTGGAAATTAATTTTTACACTCCTTAAGCGCTGAAACCTGAAAAGTGTCAGCAAGCTGAGGAGGGTGTGTGTGTATGTGTGTGTGCGTTTGTGGGTGTGGGTGTGGGGGTCTGTCTCCTCCCTTCCTGTTCTACTTACTGCAGTGCTTACACATATTCCTATTGGCTGTCCTGATTGGTGCTAAGCACTGTTAAGTTTTGCGTCATGTGTGTGTGCTTCAGGCTGTAAACTCCATCATAACCTCAGGAGGGGCCGAGAACACGTGACGGGGGGTTGTGGGGGGGCTTTGCAGTAGAATGTGATCAACTCTTTCACAAGTTGGCGCGAGAGGCCGTATGAAACGGAGTGTCATGTTCTCTGAGTTAGACACGTGTCACTTCCGATTGAAGTCAATCAAATGAATCAAATTTTATCAGCCTGAGTCTCACTTAGTGTCCCATCATGATCAAAACGAGGTTAAATAGTTCCTTATTTCATACTGAAATTGGGATTTGAAAGAAATCATTTTTGTCTAAGCACAGCTATTATTTTACACAATATTGTCTTAACGGACAGGTTCAGACTAATAAATCTTTCAGTGTACATATGGGCGTGTCAGTATTAAAACATTGAGCCTGTCCTGTAATAAGTCTTAAAAGGTGAAATTCAAGCCAAACATATGAGAACTGTCTGCAGACAAATCAGAAGCTCCTCATCTGTGATTTGTATCATAACACTGTCACTTGAGAGCCTTATGAGGCAACGCCACAAACCTCTGACAACATTTAAATCACAAAAGCAGTAACAGTCGGAAAAGACCGATTTCATATTTTCCTTGTATCATTAAACCCAAAGTCTAAATGCTTTTTTTTTTCTACATTTTCCTACAATAGAAAAATTCAGACAGATATTAGAACCAAGGATGTATTAATTATAATAACATAAGCATTTGTTATGATGATCAGCATGGACTTTATTAGACAGTTTATCTGAGCGACTTATCAATATTTTTCTTACTGAAAAGTTTTTTTTCTTTTTCCAAAAGCCCAGATTTGAATAGAGCTTCCTCCCTGTATCTCGCACTAAAGCACATTACTGTCATTTCAACTGATTCAGTAGCTTTTCCATCAGAGAGGAGGGGCTGGCGTTTCTGGGCAGATTTGATTGGCAGGTTAATTAGCGAGTCCTGACCTGACCTCCACTTGGAAAATACCTTCCAGACGTACTTATCCGATAAATTTGCTCTTGGATTTCCAAGAATCCCACACAGTCCGTTATGATCTGCAGTTATCTGAACCTGCGCATACAAAAAGCTTTACATACCATGCTCTGAGATTTTTTTTTTCCTCCAGGGGAGGTGAGAAGTCCTGTGTTGTTTCAACCTTATATCACAACATAAGCATCCTAACAAAAGCAGCTGTGCAACTTGCAGAAAGCAAACGATCTGCAGAGTGTCGATTTATAGCCCTTCCCCTTTATTCCAGCAGAGTTGCTCTTGTGCTTTGTTCTTATTTTTGAATGTTCTCTTCCACAGGATAAAGTGCGCACAGAGAGTTACCGTGACTTCATGTACCGCAACCCTGAGGTGTTCAAAGACAAGGTGAGCTGGCTACACGAATGCAAACAGACAATATTATGTGTATGTGTGTGCGCGTGCATTGATGTGTGTATATGTGCGAGTTACCTGGTTGGATGTCGAGCAAGAATAGCTGTGTGCATTTTGCAGGAAAGACATTAATAAGGAGATTGTGTCTGATTTAAAACACAGTGTGACTTTATTAGCACCTCGAATGTCAACTGCAGAGTACTGATAACAGACACATGCAATCCACCACCAAACCCATAACCCACCCCCCACCCCCCACCCCCACCCCCACCTCCTCAACTCACCACCCGCTCCCCCCCTCTTTTCCATTGCCTTTAGTTGCAGGAAGCAGTGGCCTGTATCATGACCATCCATTACATGGGCGGCTGCTGGTTAGTGCTGGGATGAGGCTGTAGAGGAGGGAGGGAGGTTGTGTTGATGGGAACGTACATTATCCCTGTCAGACCGAAGCAGTCGGCAGAGAGGGAAGTGTCACCTTCTACAGGAAGCGGTAGATGAAGAACGAAACAGGATATTCTTGTTTCAGGACTGTTGAGATGGTGGTTGGGGGGGGGGGCACAAATGTGCCCGAGCAGTACAGAAAGACGTAGAGAGGAGCGAGGAGTTGTGTGTTGTCTTGTGTTGTGTCAGCAGTGTGTTGGCAAACTTCTCTGAACCCATAAAGGCAGCGGGATGTTTACAGGGAATTCAAAGTTGCCATAAATAGAGACGCAGATAAGCACAGTGTTACATATAGATGGGTGCATCGTCACTGCAGCTGTGCTGCGGTCATTTAACACCAGCTGGGAGGGAAGATGAACAAATTAACTGTAACCTATGGGAACCTGAAATAGAGCTGATTAAAAACTCAGTCAATAACTGGCTAGAGTGAAAAGAGTTTTAGTTAGAGAATTTAGAAGCAGTTTGATCAGTAAAGGTGCTGAGGACTTAAGACTTCCCACAGTGACATCTGAATAATGCCATTCACCAGCTGACGTTAGAGTCCTGCACTATATGACAACTTTCCAAACGGAGCATGACTGCTATAAATAAATGCAATAAAAGTACAGATAATATGTAGCTCATCTGATAAAGACCCACGGCTGAAATGTTGTGCTTTTGCATATGTGAAGTTATTTCAGATGGAATTGGTTCCATTTTCTCCCCCTGCATTTCGCTGCCCAGTTTCAGACAAACCAGCTACAGTGGCCCATGGGGGTCAGCAGTCCTGAGCGTTTTTACACCTTCTAACTGGACATGCATCTGCTGAAGTTTCCATAGTTGTGAACCCTGAGGTAACTTCCCAACCCCCCAACAATTTCCCCTCCTGTCCTGCAGGTGGTGCTCGATGTGGGCTGCGGGACTGGCATACTGTCCATGTTTGCCGCCAGAGCTGGGGCCAAGAAAGTGATAGCAGTTGACCAATCAGAAATCATCTATCAAGCCATGGACATAGTCAGGTGAGACACATTCCCGCTGCAGTCAGTCACGTTTCCCTTAAAACCTGTTTCTCTGATACGTACGTACTCTAAGTCTGCCTGGTTTCCTTCACCCAAATACTTTAAAGCAGCAGTCTGTCGGTTGGCAGTTAACATGCTTGCAGAATTACTTCCTAGCAAAAGCGCTAGCTTGGCTACACTTGTTAGTCATGTGAACCCTGCTGTGATTGTCATAGCGGGGGTTAGACAGGTCTTCTTCCCTGTGCAGCAGAGGATTGTGGGAGTAGAGGTCTGTGTGACCTCAAGCCACCTTTTTATTTGTTGCAGCTGGTTGACTTCAATAGAGCTGCTGTCAGTCGCACGGCCATAATGCACATAATTTACACCTGCGGTCTGACCCGTTCACCCCTCGCTTCTTCTTCCCTGCAGTAGCTACAGTCTGAAGCCTGCAGTCACACACACACACACACTCACACAAACACACACTCACCCACACATGTAGATGACCCCCTATTGGTGCCTTTTAATACACTCATCAGTCCAATTTCAGGTACTGTGCGTTTCCAGTTTTCCAGCAGCTGGTTCTCCACAGTGGAGTCCATTTACCTCCACCAGAGCCTCCGCTGTCCCCACGTCTACCTGCAGCCTCTTCCTCCATCACTCCCCTCCCTCTAAAATGAATTTTTGAGTTAGGGGCCATTATGACTGCTATTATTACCGTTATGTAAGAGAGTGTTGTATAAGCAAAACAACGGGGTTTGCTGAAGGAAAAGGACGTTTTAATTTTACAGCCCACTGACTCGCTGTTGGAGTGTGTGTTGGCATGCAGGCTGCGTCGCAGGTCCGCCAGCGGTGAAGATTCAGCTAAAGGGAGATGTTGTAACCCCCACCTCCCTCCTACACGCTCACACACACGTTAACACACACAAACACTCCCATGCACAGAGAAACTCCCACTCTTGGGTCCCTTTTTTAAATCTACTTTTGTCTCCGGTTGTGACTTTAAAGCTCTCATTTCTGTGTGTGTGTGTGGTTGTGTGTGTGTGTGTGTCCGTCACTTCGTCTTGATGTTAATATCAGGATTGTAATTAAAGTGGCTCCTGTTGGTTGGGCAGGAGCATCCATCTCCTGTCTCCACTCCGACGCCGAAGTTTAAATGAAAAGCTGGATGTGACTTCCTTCCTTCACAGTCACTTCCTTAATGGATAATGTCTAAATACTTTCTTTTTTTTTAAACTGGCTGAGATTGATGGATTGTCCAATAGAAAGCTTTGAATTGTGACACTGAAGTGGAAAAAAACTAGAGAATATTTTATGTAGATGAGTCAAATTCAGCTTTTAATGGCAATATGAACTAAAGACAGATAACATATCATATATCATTAATATTGAACTATTATCAGAGTACGCTGATTAACGTCTGTCTACTAGCCACTAATACGCAATATAATTCATTCATTCATTTTCTTAGATTTTTAAAACTTCTTTTCTGTTGTGTTTTTTTTTCTTAATCAAAGAGTTTCCACAATTAAACCATGTCACGATAAAAGATTTATATGTTGACGGTTATTGAAAATAATAATTGATACTGGAAACTTAAGAAGAAGAAAAAAAAAGACCTAATGTGTATGACGAAGGCCTAAATTTACCATCAAATGACACCAGTGTTTTACAAAGACTCATTTCCTATGATGAAATGTATAACCTCTCCTCCCACCTCTCTCTCTCTCACACACACACACACACACACACACACACACACACACACAGACAGACAAAGCCGCACAGATACCGACTCTCTCCCCAGAGTCCTGACATTGTCCTCTAAATTACCCCAATAATGAGATTACAGTGTTTCCCTCTTGTGAAAGGTGGAGAAGGGGTGGGGGGTGGGGGGCGGTTGTTGGATTCTGGGAGGAGGTGATAGCAGCGTTAGCAGTGCAGCAGAGAGGGGAGAGACAGTTCAAGATAAGGATCGCTGCTACAGAAATGCACTCTGGGCCGCTGTGAGTAATTGTTCTGTCCTCAGTAACATTAGCTGTCATGATAATGGAATATTCACAGAGATTGATACTCAGACTGGCCGGTCTGAAAGGAAGGATCATTTAAACAGCAGCAATGATCTTACAGTTCCTACCTGTGCCTGACACCTCTGCAGGCCTACAGTTAAAGTCCCCCCCCCCTCCCCACTCTCTACACAACTCAGGATAGACTGAAGATATACGCAGCAGAGACGATGCGGATTTCCAGATCTTAACAAGTTTGCAAATTGTCTAAAAACAGAGGAATTGGTTGTTGCAGTTTGGATGCGTATCTAGAGATAGAGTCTACATCACGCATTTTGTAAAGTTGCGTGTCGTTAATGTGACTCTCATGTTCTTGTCAGTCGACTTGTCATCTTATCTTGAGTGACGTAAAGCTGCACTCATCTCCACTCTGATATCAATAAGGGGCCAAATGACGATGTTTAATGCGAGAGGGGTCATTGTGATGAACCCACAGAGAATTATCACTCGACTCCAGTCTGCAGTGCCTCTCAGCTCTGTCGAGTGTTTTCAGCTCATTGTTTCTGTTTTCACTGCGTGCAGCTTTACTGTTTTGATTCAGTGCGACTGCTCTCGTCAACCCCATTAAAAGCAGCAGGCAGCCGTTTTTATTGAAAAGGCTCTGATAAACCCAGTGTATGATACCTGCCCAGCACCAGACGGCAGACAGACGAAGCCGACAACCAGCTGGTAAACACTGTAGAGCATTCAGCAGATAAACAATCATGTGTTTCCCTCAGGAGTTGGTAGAGAGCAGACCAAAGCTTAAAAGAGAGTGAGTTAATATTGGACCTAACATCAACTGATGACTTCAAATGAATGCTAATGTTGCTCTGTGCCTGCTGTATGGGTAAGTGGGTAACCATTTGCTGACAGGTTCACCATATTAACTTTATAAGGTCGTAATATGCAAGTGTTGTGTTTACACATTGTTCCGCTGCCACCAAGTGGGCAAAAAAATCTATTAAATCTCCTTTAGTAGGAGAGAATCTAATTGCCGGTATTGGGATTTTGCAGGGTTTGTAGTAACCAGCGTTTTGAACAGTGACAGTACACAGCAGCTAAACTACGAAGCACCATTGGTTAGTTGAATACGCTGGGGTCATGACTTGTGTTTCTAAGTCCTCTGACTCTTGTTCTTTCCCCACAGGTCCAACCAGCTGGAGGACAAGATCACTCTGATCAAAGGCCGCATAGAAGACATCAACCTCCCAGTGGAGAAGGTGGACATCATCATCTCAGAGTGGATGGTCAGTACATATTTATGGATGTGCACACATATCTACATGATTTAGCAGTTTGTGGGAATGCAGACGCAGTCGAAGGCCTCTACTTCTAAGGCATCATTAAAAAAATTATGCAAGTTCAGTTCTAACTCAAACGTTGCATGTTAATTTATATTGATAGCTGAGAAAGTGAATCAGTAAATGGCAGTTTATATTTCTTTCACCAAAATGCTCCTGTGTGATTTCCATGTATTCAAACAGAAGAAGGAAAACACAGATGCAACATATGGTCACTCTGTAGAATTTCACTTCAGTCAGCAGATGTCATCCACTTGTGATCTTCTGTTGATGAAGATGAATGATGCTCCGTGTACGCATTTGGTTTCCAGACCTGTTACAGTCACTTGTTTAAATGCATTTCTGGTAGTCTGGTGTGGACAGCTCTGGTCACAGTCAAACCACCTTCCCGCTGTTAATCACTTACGGCTTTTTATGAGATTGTCGGAGTATTGACTGGGCAGAACTAAACCAGCACAGGTGTATGAGTGGATATGACTGGTTTGGAAGAGGGGGTAGTGTATAAAAAGTGTTTGAAATAAGATGTACATAGTGGAAAGCTAGTAATGACAAATAGCTAAAGCCTGAACATGGACACAAAACATACCTAATACCCAATACAACGGCTACATCGACACACTAGATATTATTATTATATCATTAGAAACTAGAGGTTAGTGTTGCAAAACAATATCTACTAATTTGAAAAGTAAGATAGCAGCGATGATTTGTTTAACAGACAGTGATAAGTCATTCAGACTCACTACAACTCTAACTGAAGTCCAAGGTCTTCACTTGAAATGGCTTCTGAATAGAGATGAAGTATTTTTTTTAATAGTGTGGTAAGTCAGTCTCAACTTTTAACAAGTCAGTCTTTCAAGTTTCATTAAGTCTCTCTCCTTCTCTACAAACATGTGGCAGCTTGATTTGCTCAAAGCCCCTTTGACTTCATGTATATGCATTTAGTACATTGAGGATCCTCAATATACAATAGCAAGGCCAAAAACAAGTGAAAGGGAGCACTGCACTGCTGCATGCTTTAGTTAACAAGCTTGTTGATTGAGACCAGGCTAGACCTCAACATGTTTGTTTTTTTAATTCATTTTTCCTGGACTGTTTAGAATTTGCACTTAATGGGAACCACTGGTTTTGCCTTAATATGCATCTACTTTTCGGCCTATTCTGAGACCGGTAAGTTGGCTTACATGTGTGGTGTGAAAATATCTTGGAAGCTTATTTTCTGTCCAGCAGTGAACTCTTCGAACACATATGCACATATACTCAAAATGTAGACGTTCAACTCAACCTCAAATCGGTCCTTTACCACCCAACGAGCGTGCAGGATCCAAGGTGCCAGCAGCAGTGATGCATGTTTTAAACATGGCTTAAACGCGGCTAAACTCGACCATGAGCTCCTGTGAATACCAAACAAGGAAAAGCAGTCTTCCTTCCCCTTGATGCCCATTTATCAGGGAGATTCTCTGTGGCGATACAGGCGGCACGGCCAAAGTTGAACGCACCACTGAAGTCATCCTTAATTCATGAGCATCCCATATCTGTCCCCCCTCCACCTCCACCATCCATCGTGAAACCCCAGGGTCATGAGCAGGGGTCGCCAGCCAGAGCCTTCCCATCCTCTCACCAGGGAAATTGAAATTCGGCGGGTGACGTGCCGGTGGAACGGTGAAGGATAGGGGACGTAATCTCTGATGACACCGGCTCACAGAGCGCTAATAAATCTAAGAATCCTCCAGTCACTTCTCATCACGGTGGAGATGGCAGACATTTCTCAGAGTGGCCAGGACTTCAAAAGCTGCCCTCCAATCTGCCTGTATAAAATGGAAAAATGACAGTTGTCACAGGAGTAGACTTTCCAGCCAGTGCAAATGGCGTTAGACTGTATTAAACTTTAATGGTTCCGTCTTATACCCAGGTAGTATCTTATTACCTCAGAGGGATTCTGGAGATGTCATCACTCTAGTATGTGACTTTTTTCTATTCTTTGCTCCGGATTCCTTTTTGTCATATAAATCACTGCTGCTGTGTTTTGTTTTGTTTTTAAAGACTTTATTTCACCTTCTTTGTAAATTTTCCACATCACTGAATGTATTCATTTTAGAAATAAATCCTCTAAATATTTTATAGAATGTTAATTTGCAGTTAATAATTACAGGTAGTGTAGGGAGCAGATATAAGATCGATCCTTAATTAACCACTGAGTCTGTAAAATAATCTTTTTATTACAAAATATTTTTTAAAAAAACACAGTCTGATTTTTAAATGTGCTTTACAGAAATATAATTTAACGTCTCTTGTTAAATTTCCATCCATTTGAATTTTCAAAGTTAACAACTCCACAGATAAAACCATTCATGGAATTACTAAAAAACTATTTGACATGCCAAACATTTAGCCATTCAATGAATTTAAATTCTGTAATTAACTCTATATATTGGTTTTCTTTGCCAATTGAGGAGTCACAGGGAATGATGCTTGCATATAATCTAGGTTTAAGATTTGTAATTTCATTTTATTGATATCAGCCTCAGTGTTCACTGGTAACTTGCTTACAGCCGTATCACAGCTGTTTCAATTACTGCAAATGCAATTTGAACATCATCACCTACTGCAGATAGTTCACATTGAAAGCGCTCAGCCGGCTTTTATTGTGAAGCAGTCGCAGGAAGGGCAACGTATTCGTCACTGAGGTTAGCACTGACAGTGGCTGTTTGTTTAAAATGGGTCAACAAAGCAGTAGATCAGTTTTAAATATTACTGGGAGTAATGGAACGAGAAGGAGCAGCCACAGTGAGCTGTTAGATGGAAGAGCTACAGGCGTCTCCTACGCATGGTAAACAACTTTGATTACTGTGCCATGCTGTGATGTGGAAAACTAGCTGCGCAGTATTCAGCATATCGTGGTTGCTTATGACAAGATGGAAAAAGCTCAATTACATTTTTATTAAAAAACTGTGAGTTTGTTTGGCTGCTCTGTAATAAGATAAACACAGTTTCTCTTCTGTTATATTACTGATAAAATAACTGCTCAAGAAGTGTTTGCTTTCCGTTACCACGGTAACCAACTTCAAAGTCATTTCAATTAATCCTGGCCTAGTTGGTGTAGTTCCTCTCTGCCTTATGCCCAAACATCCTGGTCACTTTCAACTGTAAATTTGCGAAACGACGTCAAAACGCTGCATCTTTGTGACTTTGATCAAGGTTTAATACCTTGGCCTGACATGGCTGTAATGCATGCCTCTGGTCTCATCTGACCCTGCTCCAAATACACTCAAACACACACACTAACACAGATTGGAGGCTTGCTAAGGCCGCCAGAGAATGGCCTAATTGGGTCAAAGCAATGGCAGGGATGCATAGGGGGAATTGTGTAACTAAGAATAGATTAACATCCAGCATTTCTTCTGTGCATAGAAGCCACATGCTTTGTTGTTGCAAGGAATATAGGATTGATTTAAAATAAAAAGGGAAAGAGAACCGGAACTGAAACCTGGCTACTTTTCGCATAGCTACACTCAGGTTAGTTAGTAGGTAGAAAGTGTAGTGTAACAGTCTAGTGAGTCTGTCACTGAACAGTGTAATTAATCTGAAATTTGTAGAATTAATATGCCTACAAATCCATGCTCTGTGGATCAAGTGAGAGAGCCTTGGGCTTACTGGCAAAGAAAAGCACTCCTTAAAAAAAAATCAAAGCAATAACTACGTTCATCTCTCATCAGATGAATAGTGATTGGAAGTGTTGTTCTGTGGCCTGGAAAGTGCTCTGTATTGAGTGGAAGGCATCCAGTGAAAAATGTTTAGGACTGTAAATTAATTCAGTATAACTAAAGAACAGAATCTTGCTTGTCGCTCCAACTGAAGTGTTTAACTTGGGGATGGACACATTTACCAACATGGCTCCATAGTGCTACTAGTGGTCAAAGGGGAAACTGTTAGCTTTAAGACCCATCAAAGGAGTCCTCCAACAACCTCCAAAACTGTCTTATTTACACGTGTATATGTGAATTTAACATGTTAAATTGGTTGTTGAGTGTTCAATTGGAAAACATCGACACTGTTTGTGTTTGTGTAAGAGCCTAACTCAGTGACTGCACGCGGCGTTTCAGAAAGCGGTTTGAAAGCAAAAAAAAACAGTGTTTAAATAAGACGGTCTTGAAGTTGTTGGAAGGGATATTATTTTTTTTACTTTTAAGCTCGGCTCATAATTTCCCCCACTCCTTTGCATCTTCATGTTAAGCTAGGCTGACATGTCGCAGAGCTAGTGTTACCCCTGGGGTTGGATGCATAGAGATGTAAACTGTCCTACAAACACGATCTTGATCTCAAAGACATTCTCTGAAGTAATATAAAGCTGAACTGAATTGGTTGATTAACTCATCTAACTCTCTGTAAAACAAGACATAAGCACATTTCACAAAATGTCAAGAGTATTCACTTAATTACATTTTCATTAATTCAACAGCCATCTTTTCAAATGCTGTTTTTCACTCTCATTGCTGTGGATACTTTACATCATTAAGTTATTATTTTGACAGCTGTATTACTCAGAGTTTTATTCGTGCTGTGTAATTGACCTTCAGTTATTATTATTATATTATGTCATGAGATCCTATCATTAACAACAGATGTCAGAAATGATGATTAAAAAGCGTTGGAGTTTGGAGTTTAAAAAAGAGCTGGAACTATTCATATACCAGAACCTTGTAAAGTTGCAAAAGTTTTTTCATGAAGTAATAAGTTACTTACCTGATAATTAAAGGCTGTTATGGAAGAGAAACAAAGGATTATATCAGTGATGTTCAGCTGTCAGAGTTGTTGGATCGAGCAGACAGACGGTGGTTACAGGGCTAATAGACAGAGTTGGGTGATGAATGTGGTGTATCCGTGGTGGTGTTGGTGGAGGAGGAGGAGAAGGGGGCAAATGAGTGTCTGCTGTGGCAGTGTTTGAG